GAAAGGTAATTTGGAGGTATGTGTTAGTGGGGTTCCTAAGGTGGTTTGATTGGGGATGGGAAGGGATAGGGAAGGATGTCTCTATGTGACTTGGAGGTTTTGGGGAATCAAAATTATTCTCCTACTCTGTAACTGATAAACTGGCTAAAACGGTACGCGCTTTTTCGCCCAAACTGTTCCGAATTGAAAACGAATCGCATATTTGGAATCACACTGTCAAAACTAAAATTTTGATATAATTAAAATATTTTGAGTGAAACATGTTAAAAATATCATTTAAATAAGCTACGGTGTAACACCCGCCTTCCGTGGACCCGGTTCACCCACGACCCGACGGACCAGTGGGGTTACATGGGCGGTCCGAGAACCGTCCGTAAGGTAAAACATTAATGATTATTTAATAAGAAAAGGGTTGGGTTTAATTGGCGAAATAGATGCTAGGAAGTTATTCCCAAAACGTGTGTGATAAAGTACAGAGTAAATGTGGAAGTAAATAAATAAGTCCAGTCCAGATTAAATAACGACAAGAGTGGGTTCATGCCCAATTGATTAATTAAGTAAATGAAAATAAGTATGAGCTCATCCGTGCGCCGTCCATCTCCCCATCGTCACTACTCTCCAGGGTTGGCACCTGCACCGTCATGTTTACCTGCGTGTAGCAAAAACAACTACATGCTCAGCAAAAGATGAGGAGTGAATCTAACAAAAGAACATTAATTGATAACCCATATGGCTATACACATATTAATACCTGTACTTAACGTACGGGAACCCCATGTTTATTAATTATTTAGTTTTCACCTGTTTGGCTATTGCAAATAACAAGATGAATGGAAACATACAGGATGATGATATGACTTGATGCGTGACTTAAACTATCAGGGACACCCCTGGCTTAGTCTCACTCGACAGGATTACCCTGCACTTCGGTTATCGCACCCGAACGGTAACGAGGCGGGCACGACGAAGATGTCCCGAGTGGACTAGCAAAACCGGGTAGTAGCCGTAACCTGACTACTATGTACGTACACAAGCCCAACGTGATGAAAACCCGTTGGACCCCAAAGGTTCCTGGACGGGCCCACTGTAGTAGGCGCACAAAGTCCTCCCTACAGCGGTATATCTTAGAGTTCTTCTAGATATCCTTACAATCCAAATCATTTCATAATCATCAACATATTCATTTACCTGGTCATGTACGCTGACTAGGTGCTCTGTCATCTCCTCAGCTTTTGGATGAATGTGCCCCACTCGTGGAATAGGGGTTAAGTCCAGCACGCCTGATGGGTTCTGCCCCAAGACAACCTGAAATGGGCTTAGTCCAGTGGTCCTATTCATCGATCTGTTGTAGGCAAACTCTGCTTGAGGAAGAGCCAAGTCCCACTACTTTGGTTTTGAACCTACCTAGCAACGTAAAAGATTCCCCAAGTTTCGGTTTACCACCTCTGTCTAGCCATCAGTCTAAGGATCATATGCACTGCTAAAGTTCAGGTTGGTGCCTATCTTCTCCTATAAACTCTTCTAGAACTGGCTCATGAACTTTGTATCACAAACTAAGGTGA